GAGTTAGGGTTTCAACATTTTTTACCTCCTGTTTGTTTGCCTTTGCAAAACTAGAAGCCGAGCAACACCTGACATCCTGTGGCCGTGACAGCCACACCCGTCAATAGCTGAACGCATTGCATTCGTCCCACCAACGTCTCTTTTTCTTGAGGCTTGAAAATGATTTTTTGACCAAACAGAGGAAGCATATTGGGCCTAATTTGCACCCGATGCCACTCAAGACTGGACTGAATAAAGTCAAAAGAAGGAATTTCAACTAAGCCGAAGAGAAGAGGCTAAAACGTACCCAAAAACCAACACAAAAATTCATGGCCATTTTGGGATGACTGCTATTTTAAAAAAAGAATACTCTTTCTGTTTCTTCATTTGTTTGTCAATAAGTACAAAAACGGATCAGGTGGCATAAAATTTATTTGACTAGAATTCTCAAAATGTCGATGTATCTCATTTGAGCAAATACTGTTTCTAAAAAATATTTTCGATTTATTTAATATTGTAGACGACCCTTCGTTTCAAATAATTCAACAAAAATGTACAATATATTAAATATTGCATCTTTTTGTGACTAAGCACGAGAAATTCTTCCAGCACTAAAGAAGCTCATCAACAACAATTCCACTTCGTTCCTATAATAATTCACAAAATCACCTAAATTTCATAACAAATATTTCTCTCGACAAACCATTGAAGCGAATCGACATAAAATCAGAATTCAAACACATTTTGCAATCGACAAAGAGTTTCAATTAAGGATTCCAGCCATTTGCCTGCTAAGATAAAATCAACAACAGAGTTTCGGGTCCCGAAAACCCCAGCAAAAGTGCGAGTATGTCACACCAGAAACCTGTTGAAATCAAATGGGAAAGAAGGGGCAAACACATGTTCTCTTCGAATTTGCAATCGATTTCCGACACATTTTGGCATTTAAAATCAACACAGGTGTGTAGATACACTCATTTGGCTTGTGTATCTTGCAGATACGTTTACATCAAAGTTGGCCCAGATGGTTTGGGGGCGTTCTTTGCCGCACTCGATCGCATTAAATAAAGTAAACACAATTATTTTTATGTGCAAAATGTGGCAAATGGGAGCCGGCAGTTTTTTAACTGCTGCGGCAACACGTGTCGCATTTTTTCGCTTCCCTTTTTTTTTCGGTCAGCCATTGGGTCCTCTGCCGCAAAGTATGCTACGCAAAAATGTCCCCTTATCACACACAGAGGCACACCAACAGAAACACCAACCACACCAACGATTTTTGGTTTTTTCTTTGTCTGTTTGTTTGTTTTGCTGTTGAATATTTCTCTTTTTTTGCCTCGTCTCCTGTTAACGAGATGCGCAACACAACCAAAAAAAAATATACATAAATAAAAAACAAAATAAATCAGTGAGAGACCCAAATATGCTAAGGAGGGCGGGGTGGTCGTGCCAAGGTCTGTGGACTGTTAAAAATTATGCAAATGATTGAGCAAATTATGTCAGAGCAGCATTTGTACAGGCGCACATATATCTACATTTGCAGCTGACCTTTGGGCCTCCTCCCCTTTCCCACTTCATGTCCATGGCAGCAAATGCCGTCAATTGAAAAGTTGGTAAACAAAAAACAAAACGGCAGAAAAACAAAAACGCACAAAAATGATTTGAAGAAAATATTTTTGAATAATATTTTCCTTCTCTGGCATCGGCATTAATTTATTTGTGAACGAAATTATTATGTATGAAAATGGCATTGGGGGCATGTGCCCCACCCTTGCTCTGCCCACCTACGTGGACTCTGCAGTTTACGGTTTTGTTAATTGGGGAACCTCGGGGAAACCAAACTGGCCCCGAGTGGTATTTAATTAGGGATCCTTTAGTGCTGATGAAGATGCAAGAAGGTGGGGCTGAGGCTTTAAATATTAAAGCCCTCTTTCAACCAATATTGGATGCTGAAACTTGAAATTGTATAAAAGGAAGTCCAATACGCTCCTAAATTAGAGTAAAAATGTTTTAAAATTTAAATTTTGATATCTCAAAATTCAAATCATTGGAGGCAAAGTTTGTTGGTAAATTTTATAATCACAAAATACTTGTAAAAAATACATTTATGTATTAAAATGTATAATTTTTTGTGTTTGGTGTTTCTTAATACGAATGCTACCCTTGACCTCATTTTAATGTGAAGGTATTTGATTTGTGATTCAGTATTTTATAACGATAACGATTATCAAATTGTTTGCGGCAAGCAAAGCAGCTGGCTAAAGTGCAACTAGGGTTTTGTGTTCGTTAATTAAGCTGTCATAAGCACGATTAGCAGAACGTAAGCCAACTGTAATACCAAATATATATGAATTAAAACTCATTACAAAAACCTCAGAAAACTAATTGAAAATTGCTGGCGATAAAAATGTTTTTGGCTTCGTTTTGTTTCTACGCTGGCATAAGCTTACATTGTCATTTCCATAATTCCATTTTAATCCACAAATTGCGGGCGAATAAAAATAAAAAACTCGAGAACTAAAAACCAGTAAAAAAACGAAAACCGAGTGAGAACAGAGAGCGAAATGCGTGTCCTGCATATTTCAATTTGTGTAATGCGCCGTGCAACTTTTGTTGCAAATTAATTTGCCACGAAAGTTGACTGCGAAAATATGGCCAAGGCAGCGGCAGCGCAGCAGCAGCAACAGCACGCACGTGTAACTCACTAGCCACATCAGTGCTACCGACTATGGATTCCAAAAAGTCGCGATTAAAAAAGCTGACTTAAAGCAGCCCGCACAAATATGGAGTATTAAGCCTCATTAATACACACCTAAAGTTTAAAAAAGATTTTAATTTTTATTTTGTTTTTTAATGAAACTGTGTTTTTTTATCGAATCTTGTCTCTTAGAGACAAGATTAAGATTGTATATGGCTAGCCTAATTTTGCAATATACCACTGACCTTTTTGCCAAACGTTTATTATTTAACAATACAAATTTAAAGATTTTATTTATTATATTTGAAGATTTTTACAAATTTTGTTTAGGCTTTCTTTGTTTTTTTAAATTTTAAAACTTTCTCTGAAGAACAATTGAAAGTTTCTGTTCTTTTAAGCGAAGTAATTTCTTGTATCACCATGTCTGAGCTCAAATAATTAAAAATAGTATATTTTTTTTTAAATTTTTAAGCACTATAAATTTATTATTTGAACTCGGAAAATATCCGCTTTGTTCCGGTGGTAAAAAGCCAGTTCGACACCTCTTGAAACGCATCGGCTTCGGTGGCTGCTCTGCACCGCCGAGTTACACTAAGCTCGCACCTCTCACTTGTAATAACCACAACTTAGTTAACTAAACATGCTGACAGCGGGCAGGAGGCAGAAGGTAGGAGGCGTGGCATCCCGCCTCGACTTGTTGTGCCCTTCAGCATGCTCTTCGCCGCCTGAACTCCAAAATGTGCGCTGAAGGAAATTGCAAACAAAATTGCAACTTCCTGTCAGCGACAAAAACTTTTGCTTGTGGCGCCAATGTTGCCACTTCCGTTTAGGCACACACTCACACTCAAAAATGTATCTGTATCTGTAGCTGTATCTGTATCTGCGTCTGCGAGAGTCCTAAGTGCAGTCTGTTATTCACATGCAAACGCCATGCTGCCGTTTGCCATGTTTGGCAATCAAAATATTTCACTAAATTGCTCCGACCCCGGCTGCAAAACTAAAATATTAAAAACATTTTTGTGCCAGACGAAAATATTTGACAAAACGTGACCGGGTCCGATGAAGACCCAAGCCCGAGCACTTTTCCGATTTAAGCAATGCAAATAAAAATAAGGAAAATAATAAAAGCTCCGTTTAGCTCTGTTGGGGGTCCAGGCGAGAGAGTGTAAAATTAAATAAGAAATATAAGCAAACTGGCCACAGGGCTCCGCCTTTTTTTTCGGACAGTTTACGACTTTTTTATTTGCCCGCAACAATTTTTTATGTTTCTGTCGCTGCCGGTTCTTGCGGAGTTCCCCCAAAGTGCGCCACGTTTGTTGACTGTTTGATTGAGCCAAGTAGATAGCACTGGTTGGCCTCCCGAAAAAATTCCCGTAGGCTCATTTGCCACTTCAAAGTTTCGTCACTGCTTGAAACAAACAACTGCCCAAACAAAAATTAAAAATAATTGCATAAAAAATATAACAGTTTACTCTTGGTCCGGCCTCTTTTTACACCCAGAGAAAAACGTCATGGTACAATAAAACATTAAAGTATTTGAATGTGACATTGTTTTTCCAAATATAAACTTACTTAAAATAAACTAAAAAAATGATATTGAAATATTTAACATATTTATTTTTTTTTTTTAAATCTTAATTTTTTCATACTAAAAAATAAAAATGGAAGTGTGACACACTTTGATTTTAACACAACACCCCTAGGGACTAAATCAGTACCGAAACTTTGTAATTCAAAGTGAAGATATTTGGATTTACCATGATTTTTCTCTGGGTGTATTGCTCGCCTCAAGTAAAGAAATTTAAAGTCTAGTAACTTTTTAAGAGTTATTTTTGCTTGAAATGAAACTTATAAAAAAAGAAGAGGTTTACTTAAAAGTGTAAATTGTGTACAAAATGCTTATAAAAATATATCCGAATTGTTTTCGATTTACAAAAGAAAGACAATGGAAACTGCACTAATATACACATATGTTAGCTACAGTGAAAAAGTGAATTTAATCTTTTAATATTGTGTGTTTTAAAGTCGCTTGAAACCAAGAAATATCGATGAACAATTTTTAAATTAATTTAGATTTCAAATTACACTGACCTTTAAAAAAAGTTTCAACATTATTAAAACTTTTAAGACGCTTGGGACAACCTTCTAAAGAAAATGAATACTTAAGAGCCCAAAAACTTTTGCTTTACTTCTTTTGTCCATCAAGCTATTCTTATTCTATTCTATTTATAATTATACAATTTTAGGGTCGAATTCTATTTTTTGCCCACCCGAAGGTATTAATAGGTTTATAAATAATATTTAATAATCGAAAGCTTACCGGCAGGTACGGATGCGTCACAAAATCATGACACCTTTCGACCAGCCACGTGCGACTCCTACAATATTTATCAATGACGAAAGCGGCGGCAATAAAAAAATAAGGAAGCCGAACCCAAGGAGCCGAGAATCACGCATTAAATTTTGTTGATTAAATATTTAATAATGCGTGTGCGGAGAGGAAGCACCTTAAACTCGTGCCAAAGATTCCGGAGACCCAGTGAGACCGTGTGTGTATTAATGGCCGAATTATGACGGAACGTACTTGACATAAGGCCCGATAGGTACCAGGCACACCCTGTGTGTGGCCTTAACAGATTTCCCATCGGCGGACATGCGTCGAAATTCTCTTCCTTCGTTTCCTGTGTATATGGAAACGCTGGCAAAACGCTGACAAGAGAGAAGAGAGAGAGAGAGAGTGGCTGAGAACGAATTTAGCTGAAGAGAGCCAACGGGTAAATGTTGCCAGCAACATGCAGATGATGCAAAGCTCAGGCCCAAATCAAACTGAAATTCCACACAAAAAATAAAAGAAGAAAACACGGAAAGACCCCCGAGAAAATAATGATTTTAGCTGCTTCTCCTTTGGGTCCAAGCTCTGGCAATTGCTTTGTTGCCCGAAAACGAGATTCGGAGTTAGGGAAATACAAATCTTTGATTAATTGTTTGCCATCTAACATGACATACCATTTACAATGGCCACGTGCTCTTTAAATATTTATATGGATATTTCAAATGCGAATCCAAACTGATTCCCCTACTAAGTCGCAGGGAAACTGTGCAGACAGGCATAAATCATTTACTCAAACAATCTGGGCTTCCAATAAAAAAATAACAACACGAAAAGGACTTTATTACAACCAAAATAACAACGCGATGGGTTGATATAGTTAATCTTCTTTGTTTTTTGTGGAAGCATTTCACCAACAACATGAATATTGAGTTGTAAAAAAGAACAATAAAGTGGGTTACGTGAGTAAGTAATTTATGATAAGGAAGAAGTACCATTCGACATCGGAAAATTTAAGCTTAAGCTTATTAATATTTTAAAGTCTTATTCATTTACCGAACAAGCTCATTTACAGCCACTCTATTTATTTAAATACTCTCAATATATATATATATTCAAATTAGAAACTAATTATAAATTTAAATAAAGATCTGTAATACATAAGATAAATTTAAGAACAATAATTTGTTCAATAATTACATAATATACATATGTCGACAATTTCGTTTTTTACAGATTCTTTTATATTTACTTTTAGATACTTCTTTGATTTAAATTTGTAAGGTAGTGTAACTAATGGATTTTTATAATGATTTTATAAGAGTTCTAATGGTCTGTCTCAACTGAATAAATACAAATATGGCAAAACAAAACATTTAATTACAGTTGAAAATTGTTCTTAAATCCTTTTATTATCGCTTGACTGTTGTTGTTGTTAATTTTAGACAGCTTCTGCATCTGTTTTCATTTTCATTTTCGCTTTCATTTTTATTTGCCACCCTTCCTTCTTTGCTTCTGGCAACTGTTTCTATCAATCTTTCTGTATGCCATCTTTGTCCCACTGATGGAAATAAACATTAAATTTGATTTGGTCACGTTTCCAAGCTTTGTTCCACTTATGGCTCATTTTGATACGGCAACCCCGTCGATCCACGCAATCTCAGCCCTCTCTCCTCTTTTCTCCATCTCCATCTTCATCTGCATTTCTTTCTGTTCCTGCTGATGATAATGGACACATAGCCATCATAAAATAATCGACGTCTCTAATGGAGGTGGATGAGCGTGTGGAGGATTTTCCTCCAAAGAAGTTAACCTGGTTCCAGTTTACGATGTTCAAATTTCACCAGCTCTGAATTATTGCTATATGTATATATTTAATGTTATTTTTTGTCATTTCTGAATCCCTTCTACTAATTTCCTAAGTAATTTAAACTATTGCCGAGCTTATTTCCCAGATCGTTCCTGCGATAATGATATTCTAAATAGGATCCTGATGTATTACAGTCGGCAGACTGCTGAAATACTGAGGGTATTTGCACGACTAAATTCGAATTTAAGAAGCACAAATAAATTCTTTTCAATATTATTTTTTATTATTTATTATTACATATTATAAATTATAAGTTCATAATTGGTTTAAAAACGTTTCCAGTCCTTTATTTGCTTCTATTTTGCTATAAACGGGTTAAGTGCAGCTGGCCCTTGACAAAAACCTTAAAACCAGTTAAGGCCCATGACCAAACTGGATGCATTCTTGCATATAAAATACAATCGAGTGCAAGTTCGTCGCTCTGGAGCAGTCGAGGGCAAAGCGATCCCAAATGCGACAAGCCAAGAATCCGTCAGATCGGAAGATTCGAAAGATTCGAGATGCTGAATTGACAGCTGCAGACGAGAACAAAAGAATTTATAAACAGTTCCAGTTTATCTTTCGGCCCGCGGATTGAGACAATGTCTTTGGTCCTGACTTGACTTAATAGCCAAAACCAGGGAGATGTGTCAGGCAGCTCTGGCAGGAAGCTCTGGCGGAGAATGTCAAAGGGATGGGCTGTCTCGCAGCTTTCTGCAGACCCTTAATGACATTCTGACTCGATCCAGAGACAAGTCAGGCAGGAATGGCAGGAAATATGGCAACATCGATGGCAGCGGCAAGTTTTGCAGGCACACTATTTTTCAATTTCCGTTTTGTGCATATGAAAACAGAATTGAATTTTAATTCCAACATTGCAATTGACACATGACAAGGATGCTGGCTCGCAAGGGGAGGCATTCAAATTGGAATGCATGAAGGCAAAATAAACTATGTGGCACAAGAATACAAATTGATCAAACACAAAATAAGGACGAGCTCCCAGCAGCAGCAGCAGCAGCAGCAGCATCATCATCGTAAAAAGTGGTTTCACAGCCACTCACAACTAACACGGACCAGGATGAAACAAGGACCAGGATCAGGTCCCAGGAGTAGTCAGGGCTCATCAGTTCGGGGAAAGCGAAGCGAGGCAGACAATTTATGTGATGTGTGTGTGTTGGATGCGATGGATGGGAAACAGCCAGACCGGCGGAGGACGAAAATCTGCAAATCAAATTACAAAAATCATAGCGCACAATTTTCACACGGCGAGTGCACGAGGGAATTGTCGCCATACCCCCATCCCCATCCCGACCTCCAGTTCCAGTTCCACTTACAGTTACAGTTCCCGTCCCCGAGCCAAAACCAATCCAACCCCAGACCAAAGTCGCCCAACCGGCCGGCAAATAGTCAAACGTCAAATGATGTAATGAAATCAAACAGAAGCGGCAACAGTGGCAGAGGACCAAAGCAGTCGGATAGTTTCAACCGTATGAAGTGCGGGTATGCACATGTGTTTGGAAATCGCAGACAGTCTTACTAGGAAGGTTAGACTTGTCACTTTCAATACTTTCTTTTTTTTTCTTAAACAAAATTATTAAAAATCTTTTACTTACTACTTTGATAAAATAACTAACGTTTTTATTCTTTTCAACATTTTATCATAAGCATGGTTAGGAGGGATGGGATCTTTATTTAAACATTATTTTTCTCCAAAATGTTTGATTTGTGATTTTAAGACCTGCTTTGAAGCACGATTTGCGAACAGATACACGTGAGATATGAAAACAGAGATAGGAGTCCAAGGAAAAAAGTTTGATTTAGTGCTGTGCTAAGGAAGTTATTTTTTAAAGCGGCACAAAGACAGAACTCAACTCTAATGGAAGTCGTGGTAAGAGCCACAATGCTTTAACATTGGGGAATATAATTTAAATTAACTAAAAATAAATAATCCAACTGTAATGCTTTTCAGAGTAAAGTCCACACACCGCAGGCCCAACTGTAGTGACATTCCCTGGCCATATTTGATGAACGACTAACTAGGGCAGCCCTTTAGACCGCTCCTGGTGCTGATCCTGTCCTCGTTGTCGTCCTGTTCCGGTCCGTCCGTGTCCAGCCGACAGTCGCCAGGGAACTCAACTCAACTCAGCCAATCTGCAAAAATTTGAATTTGAAATTTTTATTTATTTACTCTTCGATAAAGGGGACAGTGATGGGGCTTGGAAAGTGTGAAATTTGTATGGCTTGATGGGCGTGTGGCTGCAAAAAGGATGGGGCTGCCGGTGATAATCCAAAAAAAAACCAAACGCTGCTTAAACAAATGAAGAGCGGCATTTGAAATTGTTAAAAGTGTGCGCCAGTTGTCGAATGTGCATTTTTATTTGCCTCTGCCGCTCCCTCGCACAGTGGCCACCCCAATTATTAAACTAATATATTCTTAACAATAGAGAAAAAAATGTGTATTTAATTAAAAACGCTGTTTGTTAAATAAAATATTTAATTTTAACGAAAATATTAAGAATATTTACAATCAAAACTGTCAAAAAACCTGAGTACAATACAAATTAACCAGTTGTGTGTTAGTTGCTTTTCAATTGCAAAAACGTCAAATATAATTATTTTTTTTATAAAAAAGTGTCATGAAAAACCGCAGGTAGGTGGTAACATATAATTCAAACCTTTCCTCCACATTATATATTTGAGAAGCTACAAAAGGGTCGAAAGTTTTTAACAGACTAAACTAGACCAAAAATATTCCTTGGCCCATTCAAAAATAGAAAATTCAAATCCCGTGCCCCAGATTTATTATTTTAACCACTGTGCCTTGGCCTCCATTTGGAAAATATCTAAAATATATAAAGCAAATGTATGGGGTCAAATCAAATTGAGTTGGTAAATATTTGAAATAAATGTTCGCTCTGGGTATGTGTTTTAATTGTTGTTTGATTAGGTTTTGTTATACATATGTACGTCCAAAAAGACTGCCAGCGAGTGCGAATTCAATTCCCCAAATCCCCACAAAGGAAATTTATTCACAAAACTAGAAGTATTAAAAAATAATAACAGGGATTAAAACAATTTACATTGTTATGGTACATTTGTTGTTCATGAAATCCATTTATTTGAAAAGGTTACAGTAATGTATCGTAATAAAAATGACAGCTTTAGTGGGATCATTTGTGGAGCTTTAGGATGAACTTGATAACATGTCATTTTTTAAAGATTAAAAAAGATTTTAATTATTACTTGCCTATACCTCTCGCAACCAGGCTTCATTAAATTGAAAGTTATATTTTCAGCTCTCGAATCCTCTTTATTTGTGTCATCTGTTAGCTTTATCGTGGATGCCTGAGCAGGAGCACGTTCCCTCGCTGCAAACAAGCTCTTTGTGCCACCCATCTTATTGATAAGTAATATTAATATTATTTTTTATCGAATTGCACCTGTCCCGGGCTCCTGCCCCGATTTTCCCCTCAGTCCTCGGGCCTCGGGCCTCCAACGATGTGACGTCATGCCGGGAAACTTACGCTAATTAAAATTCCCATTTAATTGGCATTGGCTGTTGTTTGTCTTCGGCTCGATTGCAGCGCAGAGGATATTTCATTTGGTTTTTTGCTCTTTGCTCTCGTTGCTCGTTGCCAACTGCGGCTGTATGTTTATTCAATTAAAATACGCATGAGGCGATGCGAGGATTGCTGACAATCGGACGGATGACAGAGTTGTGCCATAGGAATGGAGCCGGGCAACCTGTCAGGCTCATTGATGCCACACCAAAATCAATTTCATCGCATGCAGTCAACGCCTTTCGACCACTAACGAACATATCTGCATGCACTTCACTCACATACGAGTCTGTTCGAAGTGCACTGAGAAAAAATATACGTTGAATTTGTTTATTTGTCTATCATCAATTTTGATGAGCCACTATCCCTACCCTAGCCAAATTTTAAAATTTTTGGTCCAATTTTTTGTATTTAATTTAAAATGTAGGTAGTTCCCAAAAGAAAACTCTTAGATTTACTTACAAATCTTGTCCATAAATTCAGATTTAAATAGCTTGAGCAATCTATTTATACACTTGCAGTAGTAAGTAAGTTAAATTTACTCTTTTGATATCCACGATATCCAAATTTAGTAGGCTATGGCTTATAAACATATTTGTTTCTCTTGTAAATTTGTTCATAAAGTTCAAAGATAATATTTGAGTGCATACTGCATGTAGGCTATCGGCACCAACAC